TTATTTGCATTTCTTCATGCCAATATTCTGTTAATAATTTTTTAGAATCTTTTATTATAATCTTTCCAATTACTGGTTTTGTATTCTCTTCTTCTACTGTTTTTATTAAAACCTAATCTTTTTTCTTTTTATTACAAGTAAGTAGTTTTGGTAGCACTTCGAAAGCAAGACTGTTTGGTTTATTTGTTCTCCAATTTGCTTTTAATAATCTTTTTTCTTTGTCTTTTAATAATTTTTCTTTTATTTTTGTAAACCATTTGGCTTTTCTGCTCTTGTTTGATTCTCCTCATAATAGTTTAAGTTGGTACTATAAAATCATTTTGTTGTCTGACTTCGAAAATAACTGATTCATATAAACTAAGTTGAATTTACTAAGGAATTTAGCTGTGTTTTTAGTAAAGTTGTTGCCTAGTAAATCTGCTATTTTTGCATTTTTATTCTTTATCATCAGCAAATTTATAGATGTGAAATATTTCAAAAGATTTTGCATAACACAATAATTTCGAAATATTATAAAATAAACTTTGAAATTTTTGCTAAATGCAAAATATTTCGAAATATTTCAAAATATATTTCGAAATTATTGTGTTATACAAAAGATTTCGAAATATTTCACATCTATAATCTATATTGCAGCAATTTGTTATTTTTAATTTCAATTTTTTGATTTTTTTTTTTTTTTTTTGTGGTCTTATACTTTGCCAGAAAGGCCGAGATTAGGATCTAACCTGGAACTGATACAAAGATAAATACCAGTTCACTTTTTTTTTGTTTTTTTTGTTTTTTTTTTGTTGTTACTAATTATTGTTTCTTTTTCTTTAGGTCTTGTGCTTCACTAGGAAAGGTTAATGAAGGTAAGATTGGGATCTTGAACCAGAATATGTACCATTTTCCTATTTTAGTTTTTTTTGTTTTTTTTTTTGTTTTTTTTTTGTTTTACTAATTCTTGTTTCTTTTTCTTTAGGTTTTGTGTTTTGCCAGGAGGGTTAATGGAAGTGTAATTGGGATCTTGAACCAGAATAAGTAACCTTTCTATTTTTTTTTTTTTTTTTGTTTTTTTTTGTTGTTACTAATTCTTGTTTCTTTTTCTTTAGATCTTGTGCTTTGGCAAAAAGGGTTAATGAAGGCAGGATTGAGATCTTGAACTAGAATAAGTAACCTTTTCTTTTTTTTATTTTTTTTTCAGTTTTTTTTTTTTTGTTTTTTGTTTTTTTTTGTTTTATTAATTTTTTTTCTTTTTCTTTAGGTCTTGTGCTTTGCTGGGAAGAGTTAATGGAGACTATAATCGAGATCTTGAACTGAGATCTTGAACCAGAATAAGTAACCTTTCTTTTTTTTGTTTTTTTTTGTTTTGTTTTTTGTTTTTTGTTTTTTTTTTGTTTTTACTAATTCTTTTTCTTTTTCTTTAGGTCTTGTGCTTTACTGGGAAGGGTTAATGAAGGCTAGGATTGGGATCTTGAACTGGGATCTTGAACCAGAATAAGTAACCTTTTCTTTTTTTTTGTTTTTTTTTTTGTTTTTTGTTTTTTTTGTATTGTTACTAATTCTTGCTTTCTTTTTCTTTAGGTTTTGTGCTTTGCTAGAAAGGGTTAATAGGGACTGAGATTGGGATCTTGAACTTGGAACTGGTATAAAATAAATACAGTTCACTTTTTTTTTGTTTTTTTTGTATTGTTAGTAGGTTTTGTGCTTTGCCAGAAAGGTTTAATAAGGACTGAGATATATAGTATAGTTTTTTATTATGTAATTATTATATAATTATTATTAAATAAAAATTGAATAAAAAATTATATTTAATAAATAATAATTAAAAATTAAATAAATTAATAAATAGTTTTGAAATTTTTTTAATTATTTAGTAATAGTAAAAATTTTCTGATTATTTTGCAATATTGCAAATTTTTTTTGATTATTTCCTATTATTGCAAAAATTTTCTAATTGTTTCACATTATTGTAAAAATTTTTTAATTATTTTGCATTATTTCAAATAATTTCACAATATTGTGAAATTTTTTTGATTATTTTACAATATTGCAAAATTTTTTTATTTCAAAAGAATTTTATATTAATCACAGTTATTTCGAAAGATTTTTGGTATGTAAAATCTTTTGCAATATTTTGCTTATATTTTTTGCTGATATAACTATTACTATATTTTGTATATATTTAATATACATTGTTTAAGCAGTATGATACCTTTTCTTTCAAAACTGATTTTTAGTCTATTATATATTTCAAAATATAACATCTGCTAGTAAGACTTAAGAGATCTTTCTTGTTAACTATCTACTTACTTTACAAATTATTAATAAAGACTTGCCTTTGTAGAATTTATTTGTATTCTAATATCTACTTTATATTATATTTTTAGTGTTTTAGTATACTTTTGTTTTATCTTTAAACTTACAATTTAGATAACTTAAAAGAACTATAATTTGTTCTTAGCATATTGAGTTTAGCTTAATATTTTTTTCTCTAGTTTGACTTAGCAGTAGTATTCTTATTTAAATGTTCTTATCTATTCAATTTCTTTATATTATTATTTTTTTTTTGGTGTTAAGGTAACCTTTTTGGTCTTTGAATTTTTATTAATTATTTATTAGTATTGTAGTTCAATGAATCACTACAAAAGAGCATACAATTGGCTGCATATATAACTTTTTTATATTACCTATTTAAGAAGTCTGCCTAAAGGTTTTTTACTAATTGCTATACCTAACATCTCTGCTTAAATGTTCTAATTTTAACTCTCTAAACCTATAATCTGTATTAACTCACTAGGTTATACCCAGATGCCCAGATTATTATTTTAACCTTAGAACTAATTTATTCTCAAAGTAAACCCCTCAAAGCTTTTTGTACTCATTTTTATAGTTGACCTAGATATTACTATAGCAAAACCAACACTTGTAGTCAAAGCTTAATTATTAAACTGCTATGCCCTTGTAGAGTTTACTTAAACTCTAGCATTTATTTTACAGCATAACCCTAATACTTTATTATACCTCTGAATTTTATCAGATTTTCAACTCAGATGGCCTATGTAGAACTACAACCAGTCTATTAGTATATTAGATCAACCTAATATCCTTTTCTTCTGATTTGTTCTGGTGGCCTAGTTGGTGATACCTCTGAAACTCCCAATCTAAAAGTTCTTGCCTGTTCAGTTACTAAGACCTGGGCAGTATTATACATGAGACATGTTTTACCAATTTTATAGGAACATAAATATTCAGAACAATATCCTATATCCCATATTCCAAATAATATTTCAATATAGTATTGATTACAGGACCTTGTTTTTTTGTTCTGGACAATGTCTAAGACATTATTGTCAGAAACAATGTCTTATATCTCATGTTCTATGTTATATTAAAGTGTTCAATATATAATATAAATCAAAACTAAGTAGAAAATCTAAATGATACATAATTAATTAATCATACCAATATGCTTTTATATACATATAAACTTGGTCACTTATTTAGATGCACAGTTTGCATTTTTTTTTTTTTACTAGCACTTTTAATACAAATTATTTATTAATTACTATGACAATAAAGCTATAGAGGCTTTTTTTTACATTGTTTATACAATGTTTTTTTTTCTTAAACTATCTTAATTGCATTTTATTTAGTTAGTGAGATGAACATTTAAATTTATTTTAAAGTTTTTTGTCAGGTAGGAAAATAAATTTCATTCTATAGTTTAGTTCTTTGAACTTTATATTGATTTTTTAAAGTTTTACTTTGAAATTATATATTATTAAGACTGTACATTTCATTAAATCAAAGAAAAATAGGTATTTATATATTATATAAATGCTGATTTTATTTAATAAATACATGGCTCAGAAAAAAACAAAAACAACTTAATGAAAATATATCTACCACATCTATTAATAAAGAAGCATTCATCAACGAAGATATATTCATCAATGAAGAAGCATTAATGGACTTTTATATGATACTATACATATTTTTGATTATATAGTACATCGAACATCTAATGTTACATGTTTTATTTTAACGATAAAGATATTATTGTTGCATTACATTTTATTTATTTTAAAACTAGATTTTTTGAGTAAAAAGTTAATTAAATTTATAGATCTTTTATGATCTTTTATTCTTGTTATATACACAATGCTGCCATTACCTTCTTTACTAAATAATTATATTATAAAAACAAAAATTAAAATTAATATGAGTAATTTTAAAACATATTGTAAATTATGTATTGATGCTTTAAAGAAAAAGAAAAAAAAATATTTATTTTCCAAATAAAAAAGACTGTATTATTTAATACTTAAAAAAATGCAGCCATTTTTTACAAATACTACAGCTGAACAAAGAACTAAAATTTTTGATTTACTTTCAGATCATAATACTACAGTTTTAAATAAAAAATTATATATATTTTTAATATTTATAATTTTTAATTTTTTATTATTATTATATATATAATTGTTTATTAATAAATATTATTTAGATTCAGCAAGTAATTTGTCAACTACATTGCAATCATTAAGCTTATCTTAGCTAAAGTATCATAAAACCTTAATTCAATTAACTGAATATGGGCCAACAGATAATTTTATTGTTCAATCATTATCAAAAGAAGATTATAATCAGTTTTGTTAGCATTTACTTTATATGACTGTTTTTTGTAGTTGGTTATTATTATGAGTTACTAATTCAGAAGCAATAGAATGTTTCAAGTTTTTAAATTCTTTTTTTAAACTTTTTGATTATCATAATCTTGGTAATCAAGTTTTAAACAAAGCCATAGATAGTATAGAAAAATCAATAAAGATTGTGCTAAAAGAAGATTCAGTAAAAGTTACTTTAACATTTGATGATTGGATAAATATAAAAAATAAACATCTTTTAGAAACAATTTTATTAAATTCTGATAGAAAACCACATGTTTGGAAAGTTTTTAATATAAGTCAGAATGAGAAAATTATGCTGAAGTTATAAAAAAAACAGAACTTATGATGCATGAATTAAGAAAAAATAATATGATACTATATGTAATTGTTACAGACAGTGCTAAGGCTTATGCAGCAGCTAGGTGCTTATTTATTTATTTATTTATTATTAAAAAATAAAGTTTATTTGCTAATATATTATTTAAATAGACATAAATTAAAAATTTTTTACAAATTAGTAGTTTTTTTACCATGCTTCGCTTATCAATTAAATTATTGTATTAGTAAATTTTTAAAGAATTTACTTAATTTAAAACAACTATTAACCATGCAATCAAATTAACTAACTATTTTCAAAATGCAAATAATTAATTTTTTATTGGACAACTATAAGATATACAATATAATACATATAAAAAAATTTATTCAATAGCTATGTCAAAAGAAACAAGATGTAATAGTTTTTTTTATATATGTACAAGTCTTATAAGAACTCTAAAAGCATTGAAGGTTGGCAAATTTATAAATTTATAAATTTAAGTTAATTACTTATTATTATAAGCTTATATTTTTAGATTTTGGCAATTAATGGCCTCATCATTAATATTTTTTTTTAAAAAAAAGAGATTTTGGCAATTAAGTTTAAACCACCTTTTACTGAAATTCAACAACATATAGGAGATAATTTTATCTAATATAAAATTTATAAAAATTATTGGTTTGGATATGTTTTAGAACAATATAAGACAAATCATTGAAATTTTAACACTATACTGTACTTTACTCAATAATCTTCAATATAACAAAGCTCATTTATTTCAGATTGTATATAGTATAGGATATTTAGTACAATTTTGATCTAATTATCATGATACTTCTTTTGTATTATGATTAATCAAAAGATTAAAACATCGATAAAATAAGTAAAAGCAACCATTCTTATTACTTTCTTTAATTTTATATCCTAAATACTGTATAAAATAATTTTAACACATAGTATCTAATGTTAGTTATACTATATTTAAGAAATGGCTTATATATTATTACTGTATATAGTTTGAAAAAGAACCTAAATATATTTTTCAAGAATTTGATAATTACTGATTAGAAAATATTTTTTTAATTATAACACATTTAAGCAATTTGAAAATGATATATTATTATACTGCAGATTTAACAAATAAATTAGAAATTGTAGCTTGTAGAATTTTTGGTATTTGTATAAATGCAGCATCTGTCAAAAAACTCTGGAGTTGTATAGAATTTATATAAAATAATCAAAGAGGTTAATTAAAGATTTGAACTATTTAATTTATAAATTTTTATAATTTTTACTATATATTATATATATTTTTTTTTTATAAATTAGATACTAAAAACATTCAACATGAGTAAACTAAGAGCTAATATTATATACAAACATTGTTAACAACAAAATCTCAAGTTTTATACAAATTTGAAAGTTAATACAACACTAGATATAGATAAAACAAGTTCTAACACTAATAAAGAAGAAAATAATAGTGAAATGATAAATAAAAATGATTGTAAAACAACAATTAAAAATAATAATCATAATAATAATGATAAAAATAATAAAGAATATAATGAATTAGAAAAAGATAATAAAATCTATAAAGAAAATGAAAAATTATCTATTTCTGAAAAAGATTTTGAAAAATATCTTCAAGAATGGGCTAAGTTATTAGAAGAAAAGCAAGACAATAAAGATTAAATAAATATTGAAGATTTAGATGATATAGTTCATCTTGCTTTAGATAAAGATGCTAAATGATAACTAGAAAACCTGTTTGTTATATTAGAGCTGCCATTATAGTATTAGCTTAATTGGTAAGCATTAAATAATATTAATTAAAATTAGTAATAGTAATTAATTAAAATTAACTTCTAATATATTTATTTATATACAAAGTAGCATTATTTTCTATAAAAATATTATAATTTAGTATTTTTTTTTCTTAACTTTTAGTCTGTTTATAAATATCTTTACAAATATGAATTTATAAAAAAATCTAATTTGTTTTAAGGATGAGCATTAATATATCAAAATAAGGTTTTATATATTATTAGCAAATAAATATGAATTAGATATGCTTGCCTTTTTCTGATTTGGTATATAAGTTCTTGCATTTTAATTATATATATAACAATGCTTTATTTTATTTATTAGTATGTTTGCTATACGATAACATCTTTGCAAAAAATTTCAATTTTTTTAAATATATTTATAATATAATTAATATATAGTAAAAATATAATTAAAATATATTTTTTATA